CAAACAATTCCATGATTCTATGAATGGCACAAGCAAAGGTTCACAGACTCAAACCTTGCTGTGGTCCCCTCCACCCGCGCGTGGTACCGCAACGGGTATCACCCACCCTTTTTATTTGTTTCTTCTAAATCACTACTCATTATCAAATTCAATGCATAAATCAACTCTTCAGTTACATGATGCATCATAAAATGTAAATTTCCTTAAAGACTATGTCCAGTAGTTAAAACTGGGCAGGTGCTTGATTAAGAGATGGGCAGAGGACCCTCCACAGCGTTCTCCACCATGCCAGAAGCATGGCAGCACCTCTGATCCCTTCATGGGATCCTCAGCAAAGGCTGCTCTTGCACTTATTAAAGTGTAAAAGCAATCCACAGCCTCCTACGACTCCTGTTCTTTAAGGAATATAATCCTACAGAAGCAGCAGATGGGTGAAGAGTTTCCAAAGACCTAAAGAAACCTCAGGAAATGCAGGAGTGTTGAGTTACTGGAACATATGTCCCATCAGACAAAGCTCTTGGCTGAAGGTCGAGTGGCCAAATGGGTCAGCTACGCTGCGCGGGGAGACAGGGGCCTGATTCTGGAGGAGAAGGCCGCCTGCAGACACGGAGCCCTTCTCTTGAAGAGGTTATTTGCTCGAGAAGACCTCGACGGAGCAAAACGGCAAGCACGTGCGTACTCTAGCGGTCTTTAAAAGCTCAGATAACTGAGTATTTGTATATTTACCTGATCTAAACACCGACTGCAAACACCCAGAGGTTAAGCCAGCACTAAACTATCAAGAGTAGGCTATTATGGCCAACAGACCCGTTTCTGGAGGCTATATTCAGATGAAAAGCAGGTGTTCACAGGACAGGAAACGCTGATGATGTCATGATAATTGAATTTAGGAGTAGACGACCCGTCAAGTTGTTTCAACGTTGACAGATACTGGGCCACTTCAACCAAAAACACTCGTGGCGCTGTCGCTGACCTCTTTTTCTGATGGATTGAGAAGGGAATATCAATCCCTGAGAGCTGCACTCACCCTGAACAGCCTAAAAAAAAATACCTGGCTGACTAGAGTGTCTTTGTGGTGCCCAGAGAGAATTAGCTGCTGTTCTCAGCAGGCAACGCACCGACGCCTGGCAATCAAGTCACGTACAGGGAGGATCGCAACGATGGGATATATACAGAAAGCACCTTGAGATGCCCTTTTGCATGGAAAAAAACATCTCAGTGGTCAAACAGTTACCAACAGGACAGTAACTTGGCCCCATGCGCACTGAACCGCGAACAGCTTGGCATTTTCCTTAGCAAGGGCAGAGGTGGCGAAGCTGCACGTAGGTGCCTCTTACCTTGAGCTCCTTCCAGCTGTCGAGCAGCCTGGTAGCCAGATCGCTCACATCCACAATTTTGTCCGTTTGCTCCTGGCTCCTCTCGCTCTCAACGTCGGATACGCCTTCCTCTTCGTCTTGGGATGGCGTTTCCATCGTAATGGGCTCTTCCAGCTTGGCACCGTTGCTCTCTTTGACCTCCGCTTCGGGCTCAGCCTCCAGCTCCGCAGCTTGGGGTTTGCTGCTCTCCACCGGCGCGTCGACGGCACCTTTGTTGCTGCTGCCCTTCCGACACCTCCATCGGGGTACTCTCCAGCTGGTCCAGGTCCTCTTTTCCCTCCTTCCCTTCCAGCTCACTGGTTGTGTCCGAGATGGCACTGTCCATGCTGTTTTCACTTATGATTTTCAGCCTTCGAAACACCAGCTTCTTGGGGGTGTCGGTGTCGCCTTCGGCGCTCTGCTTGGTGGAAAGGTCTGGCGTGTTGAGCGGTGTGTGAGCCCGCGAGGTGTTCTCGCTCGAGTAGCCGTCGCCTTCGCTGAGCTGGGGGACAGCAGTCTTGGTCTGAGCCCAGCGCTGAATAACGGGAAGCACTTTGCTCTCCTCCAGCATGTTCTTGGTAGGTATAGGCAGGAGCTCTAGCGTCTTCATAATCTAATTGCAAAGACAAAAACCGCACCGTTAGAGCCATCAGAATTTAAAGCTGTCTTCAACTGGGAACAACTCCCTTTCCTCAACATGGGGCGAGAAATACGGACATGACGGTAACAGGTCGGGGGTGGCGGCATCCCTTCTGGAGGAGCGTCTTCATAATCTAATTGCAAAGACAAAAACCGTACCGTTAGAGCCAGCAGAATTTAAAGCCGTGTCCAAGTGGGAACAACTCCCTTTCCTCAACACGAGGTGAGGAATACGGACATGACGGTAACAGGTCAGGGGTGGCGGCATCCCTTCTGGAGGCCGAACTGCTGCGGTGAACTTTTGAAAGCAAATGAACGGTGAGCGGGTGGAAATCTAATTGCAAAGACAAAAACCGTACCGTTAGAGCCAGCAGAATTTAAAGCCGTGTCCAAGTGGGAACAACTCCCTTTCCTCAACACGAGGTGAGGAATACGGACATGACGGTAACAGGTCAGGGGTGGCGGCATCCCTTCTGGAGGCCGAACTGCTGCGGTGAACTTTTGAAAGCAAATGAACGGTGAGCGGGTGGAAAACAGTGAGCACAAGTCATTAGCAATTAATTCAGCTATTCATAGAATCATGGAATGGTTTGGGTTGGAAGGGAGCTTAAAGATCATCTAGTTCCAACCCCCCTGCCATAGGCAGGGACACCTTGCACTAGACCAGGTTGCTCCAAGCCTCATCCAGCCTGGCCTTGGACACTCCCAGGGTTGGGGCATCCACAGCTTCTCTGGGCAACCTGTTCCAGTGCCTCACCACCCTCTCTGTGAAGAATTTCTTCCTGATAGCTAATCTAAATCTCCCTGTTTTCAATTTGTACCCATTACCCCTTGTCCTGTCACTACAGGCTCTTGTAAAAAGTCCTCTCCCAGCACCCTTGTAGCCCCTTCAGGTACTGGAAAGCTGCAATGAGGTCTCCTCGGAGCATTTACACTGATTCCAAAGAGCTCAGATGCTTCCAGCTGGCCGTACCCACTCCCAGGACAGTCAATGTGACGGCAGTTAGATACGCTACGCGCAAGGAAACCTGATCAGGAACGTCAGGATGTGTCAACAGTCAAAACAGAGGAGATGGACCCAAAAAGGTTGGGAGATTAACACCCGGAAAGCTTTTCCCTCGATGGACATAGGTGCCCTGTGCTGCAGCAGAAGGGAGGGGAGAGTCTGCTGCTCGTGGAGCTAAACCTTAGGCACAAAGGGGTACGGACAAGCGGGGAGCTCCAAAGCACAAGACAAGGCGAGCATCTCCCATCCTGATGGCACTTCCGGCTGATTCAGTCTCACCAGACAACAAGGCTGCTGCTAAAACCTGCGCTCTCGGTACACCACCACACTTCCAGCACCCAGGCAGGCACCCCCGGGAACAGGCACCCTCCTTCAGACCCCGGGGAACACCCGGAGGTACTCTGATGAAGCCAAAGTCCTTTTCCACCACCTGTCAGCGGGAAGGAGGATCACGGGCACAGAAAGAAGCACCAGACAGCGAAGGAACACGACCTTTCCAGGATCCAGCAAGGGACTTCTCTCCAAAGGCCAGATTCCAAATCCCTGTTTTTGAAGACAGAGACAGCCAGCCCTGCTAAAGCACTTTTCAACTTGTTCATTTTCAAAACCAGCCACCCAGGAGTGAAGGGCAGAAGATGGTTTTATGGCAGTATGCTGATTTCTGCCAGGGGCGTCTCACGGCCAAACGACCAGTTCCCTTAAAACAACAAGTTTTTTTAAAGAGGGAGAAAAAAGCAAAGTGTGATCTGGCCCCACTTGCAACTCACTACAGAATTCCCTAGATTTTAAAATAGTATATCCAATCCACCAAACTCTCCCAGAGCTGACAGCGTATCATGACCAGATGCATCAAGAGTGGGGACAAAGACTACAGCATCGATCCAGTTTCCCTCCTGGAGCTCGGGGGAGAGCAGGTCTGGGTTTGAGATCAGCGAGGTTGAGTGCCCGAATCTATCCCAGGGGAACACCAAAGCCAAACCTTAACCTGACCGTTGATTTCTCCAAAGCTAGAGGTCAAGAATAAGTGGCCTTCAACTTAAAGTGGGTGGATTTAGATTGGATATCAGGAAGGAATTCTTCCTGGAGAGGGTGGGGAGGCACTGGGACAGGTTGCCCAGAGAAGCTGTGGATGCCCCATCCCTGGGAGTGTCCAAGGCCAGGCTGGATGAGGCTTGGAGCAACCTGGGCTATGGAGGGTGTCCCTGACTGTGGCAGGGGTTGGGACTGGGTGGGCTGTAAGGTCCCTTCCAGCCCAAACCATTCTACAATTCAAAGATGAGCCGGAGACAAGCTTCCTAGGCGCTCTGCAATGCCACAGCACCTGTATGTCAGGGAGCAAGAAGGATAGGCACTACCGGTACAAAAATCCACCCCTGAGACTCCCTCAAAGCAACAGTTTCAACAAGTATAAAGCGGAATGCATCCTACCTACCCCAAAGAACACTGCAACCCAAAGGGGAATAGCTCAGCTCTCTCCTAAGAGCAGTTATTGCAACAGATTAACTCAGTCCCTGTAGCTTTGGTCCCAAAAGATCTTTTTGTAGCCTCGTGAACAGTGTCTGCCAGTACCAAAACGTCCCACAGCGAGAGGAACGTTGGCTCAGCAGCTGTCAAGTACTTCTGCTGTGGCTGCAAGTACTGAAAAGCCACGTCACATCAGCAGGGGAGAAAACCAGAGGCCCCTGCCCGATCCATGCTGTGTATGCATGGCCCATCAGCAACAGGCTGGCAAGGCAGGTGACAAATGGGCAGGTCCACTCAAACCCTACAAGTCTGCAAGCTCCAACAACATCAGAGACCTCTCACCTAACACAACTAATTTTTCCAAGTATTTATGGCCAAAACTTTGTCTGAGGAAGGATGGATGAGGGCTACGTGGTGGAAACGGCGGCCTTCCTGTGGGACACACTGCAGAGCGGACAGATCTGCTGTTCCTTTCACCAGCAGTGGCTCAGGGTCTTCAAGAGAAGCGCAGAAGCCGTCTTATTAAGGCTGAATCACAGAATCATAGAATGGTTTGGGCTGGAAGGGGCTTTAAAACCCACCCAGTGCCACCCCCTGCCATGGGCAGGGACACCTTCCACTGACCACGTTGCTCCACG